TATCGATTTTGATACTACAATAGCACAATTAATATTTATATTCAGTAAGGACGCATAACATTTATTACAAGAGACAAATAGAGAATAAATTAGATTTTAAAATATATTCAAATAAAAAAACAGCTATTTTAAATTGTAATGATATTTCAAAATATTACTCTATTTTTTATCAAATAAATGCAGCAGTGGTGAGCATAAGAGATTTCTTTCAACAGAGAGAATTAAAAAATTGATTAAAAATTATACCAACCTCAAACTATTGAACATTAATAAAGAAATACTCTCTCAGCAAATGCTGTAAATAAATAGGGATCTCTCTAACTTTGTACATTACAAAAATATTAATTTTAAAAATGAACAACAGAGCCCACTAAACAACTAAACAAAAATAATAAGTCAACAACCACAAACTGCTCTCCAGATACTAACTGAAATTTCAATTGCATTTCATGTGTAAAATGTAGTATTATAATGTGTAAAATCGTTATAAAACTATAAACTCATGAACACAAGCAATGATGTGGTCAAATGTGGTTTAGGAAACACTGGCATAGATTAAAACACTTGGGATTTTAAGAATCGACATCAAGAATGAAGATCATAAAAATCTATATTTTTAGCCAGCCCTACTTTATGTCCTAAGAACAGCAGAACAACAAACGGTGAATCAGGATTTGAAGATGATACTGTATATCCTTATAATTCCTTCTCGGGTTTAGGAGTGTTTGCACACAAAAGACTGCGAGCACGTGCTGGCTCTGAGCAGCAGACCGGGTTCAGGTTTCACAAGGCTTTTTAGGCCAGACCTGCTGCTGATAGACAACAGTGGAGTGGACAGAGAGAACTCTTGGCACCGTTGTGGAAGGTTAACACAGGGCTGGTTTGGTCACAAGGCTTACCACTAAAAGTTTTTATAGGTCTGAATCCCATCTTTTAAAAGTGTGATGTTTCCTGCTTTATATCCCAGCTCACAAACACTGCATTCTCTGTTTCGAACCAAATCCCTGCTTTGGTATGAAAATGCTCTTCACTGACAAAGTTCAGAATTTTGCATTCATCTCTTTAGGTTACTTGATTAGCAATTTCTCAATTAGCACATTTCGGAGACTAAAATATTTAGTTTTCAGCTGAAATATGCCAAAATTAGCATATATGTAGAATAAGACAAGTAGTTTTGTTTAAATTCAAAATTGTAAATCTTCTATAGTCAATTTATAAAAAAATATCTTCTGAAAAATATAAAATTAATAGATTTTGTTGTTTTTCCAAAAAAAAAAAGTATATTTGGCCCAGCGAGTTCAGAATTTTTGGTTTCTGCCAATATTTTTCATTTTGGTGCATCACCAATTTTTATGATTTTTAGCTTTAGAGGTATTATTTTAAAACAGACTATTTAAAGAAGCAAATGGAAACAAAATCAACGGTTCAAAGACATAAATATAAAAGAGAGGAGAGCAATGCCACACATTTTGCCGCCTTCTCCTGCGCCGTCGTTACTAAGCAACGGGGTAAACAGCTGCTGGCTTGATGACGCAAACGAACCGATTTTTGCCGTGTTCACACAGAAGGCACTTTGGCAATTTTCCAGGATAAATGCGCTGTGTGGGAGGGGCTTATGTTACCCATGTTATCAGTTTGTAATCGTATTGAAAAGCCCTCATGTAAACACCTCAATCGATCCAACTGAGCTCAATCAAAATTAAAAGTTCAATCAGATTGAAACGGGTGGTGTAGATCTTAAATAATCTTATCAACTGGAAAAAAAGTAAGCATGTAAACATGTGAATACAATCTTCTCAATCGGATAACAGTGCGTATGACCCATATGTTTACCAGAGACATTTTTAATAAACTTTGGTTTACGTATGCTTTTTGTCTTACAAACATGCATATGTTTATCATTGTCGTACAATTCAGTGGAGAAGACTGAATATTTACTATATATTTGCACAAAAAAAGCTCTTCTGAGCTTTACCAAGTTTTCCTATTAGATATGTCATGTCAGCAAAGCAAAAATGACAATTATTCTTATGATAGCTTCTGCAACATTATCGCAAAAGCTTTCTTCCAGTTTTGAACGCGGTGACTGGGCACTGCACATGCGTTGAATTTTTGATTGGAATACATTAGTGTATGAAAACGTAAACTAAATTGAGAGTCGGATTGCAAAGTTTAGGGTTGATAACAGAACTTTTCAGAATACAAATTCCCAAACTTTCTACAATACGAAATACGAACTGCATACTTCACTATTCTAGAAAACCATAATCACATCACTACTAAGAGGTCGACCGATAGTGGATTTTACGATACGATAGTTAGGTTGGACCACACTGGCCGATACAGATTAATCAACTGATAGTTAAAAAAAAAAAAACAGTACTGAACCATACTTTGTACATGAATAAAATTATTAATATTAAATATTAATTAGTTCATTAACTAATGTTAACAGAAGCAACTTCAAAATTTAAAAATTTTTTAATAGATGTTGAAATGTACACACTCTAGATGGCCATCTTTAAATATCTAGACATAAAATTGAAATTACATACATATGGATATTGTATATTCTCACAGTGTAATTGCTTCTATTCTAGAACACGTGATGATTATCTAATCAAAATAACAAAATATGGCAGTCGTACACCGGGCAAAAAGCGCAGCGTCACGTCTAGGACTAGTGGGTATCAGGAATCACACACAGCGGACGCGTCACATTCAGTTCAAGCGGTGGTCTAAAACAGTTTATTTAATCACCAAACGGGTAAAAGTTCACTTCAAGAATGATCAAAAAAGTGGCATAGATGAGTTTGAAGTTTGGTGTTTAAAAAAACAAAAAAAAACAAGAGCAAAACGGAAAGAAAAAGTGTGATCTATATTACAGCTCTCTATATGAAGCATACAGACTTTATTGAAGCCACAGAAAGACAAACAATTTTACAGCCTAGGATGAAGTCATTATGTACATTAACAATGATTTAGGACAAATATAATGTAATTTAATGGAAAAGTCAGCCTCATGTGTCAAAACAAACAGCCAGAGTACTGTATAACTGTATAATCAGCCACTCCAGCAACAGACGCAACCCGGAAAAAACTATCAGCATGGATTTGTGCAGATAGCCGATAGTTCCAGCAATCAACTATCGGTGCCAATTAATCGGCAAAACGATACATCAGTTGACCTCTAATCACTACAGGCATTATACCCGCATTGCTCAAGTCCAAAAGCAACTGGAATCGTTCAGCCCGATGGTGGAAAAACACTTCCTGAAACAAATTACACACTTCACCTGTCAAAATAAAAATATATCATGAAGTAATATAGCCTGAACGCACGCAGGCAAATGGATGCTGTAGCGTGTGATGGTCCAACAAGCACTACTTTGTGAATGAACAGCACAGAAGCTAGAGAAACAGGTCTCTACAGGTGCAACAAGACTTCTCGGCTATTAAACCGAGAGCTCAAGTTTACTTACAAACACACTAGCTGCCTGCGGACATAGATAATCAGACATGCATTAGGCTACATGCTGATCAGTATAAAGGAGGGGATGCTGAACTTTATACAACCTGTACGTGCCGAGTTTTTAACACATTTGAGATCTAGTCATCGCACGCATGATGCAAATCTGTAGCATGCACACTGTGATGGCCACTACAGCCATTTATGTGGTTAATGACAGCTGAGGTGATGCTTCAAACGGGCCTAAAAGTAACAGGTTTACAAGCTATTACAACAGAGTGCTCTTCTAACTTGGCGACACAGCAAATACCAAACACTTGGTTAACTAGTCTAAGCACACAATTATCAACTATTTTGACTAGCAAGCTCAGAAACAGCAGAACTGCATGTCTCTGAACTCGGTCTGGTTTGTGTTTATGTTCATAATTTGAGCAAAATTCATCCCACTGAACAAAGCAGGAGTGCTTGCCACATTTGAGACAAACTGAAAGACTTTTGCGCACTCACAAAGTGCTAATTTGGCTTTTCGAGTGGCCAGCCATGCACTTTTAATATCTTAAAAGTCTCAAAAGTGCACTCAATAAGTTTTTGTCTTATGTTTAGACAGATTCATGTTTACGACACGGTTGGTCATGTGACCTCAATAGCGGCGCCCATGAAAGGGCGACCCGCTCCATGTAAAACAAAAACGCTTTTTCTATAAAACTGCTATGAATATTCGCTTTATGAGAGATTAACATTTCTCAAAAGTGCTTTTAACAAAAGCTAGCAAACGCATGGTTGCCGATAAAACATTTTATTTTTTTGTTTTTAAAAAAAGGGTCTAAATGCAAATGGTGAAACTTACTAACGTGTGAACTACCTAGTAAGCAATAATAACTGCGTGCACATTTATAACCGTATCATAGCGACCATAAACTAAAACTTTCGCTTTCAGAAACTGTCCCGGGACATTCGCGTGGACCTGTCGCTTTCTTTCCTGCACTTTCAGCTGGAACTCTTTTCAACGTGATGATCTGAAAGATGAATGCGATGATGACCAGACTGATGCAATGCGTAACAAAAATGTCATCTGGTTCTATTAGATGGACAGCAGTTGCATTTTTACATGCACAAAAGTTTGATCGATAACTATTACTTGATTCCCTAAACTTTGGATGCAATATACATTATATCCAAACAGTACATTGGTGGAGATTATACCTGTTATTATTTATTCACCCTCGTGTATGAAAAAAGTCGTACGACTGACTTCTGTAAAGCACAAAATATCAGTCAGCGTTCACTCACACTGTATGGGAAAACACGCAATGAAAGCTCGCTTCTCTTGTACTGTCATACGAGTTTTGAACAACATGAGGGCGACTAGATGGTTTAATTTCGGGGTGAAGTAAGCGACCTGTGAAGCCGACTGGATCGACTGTCTCTGGACTCATTTGGCAGCTGCGTGAATAAAGGTGTTACAGTGCTTCACAAGAGTTTATCAGAAGAGTATTTTGCAGGTTTGGGATCAGGCCTGCTGGACTTTTACCTGAAGCGTCTGGAGCAGGTGCCGTCAGCTTCGCTCGCTTCGCGCTTGGAGGGCCACTTTCGAGCACATTCTCAGCCATTGCGATTAAAATTAGCTTCTGGCCGAATGTCGTGGGGGAAAATTCAAAGTGAAGGATCCTTTCGTCAGAAAAACAGATGTTACCTACTTTTGAAAGACGTGGGGAGTGTGGAGCGGCTCGGCGGAGAATTTTCTCAAAAAAGCAGCAACAGCGCCCCGCGTCGCCACCACCATTCACCCCATGATAATCCAACACCCAACACCCACATTATCATCGTTATATTACCGAGAGAAAACGCCTCCTTTCCGCGAATTCAACGTTAAATCCCAAATAAAATATCCACAGGAGTCCTCGCGCGCGAGCGTCGTTAATTTTGCAACGGCACGCGATCCATTTTCTGACGTCAATTTTTTTCCGTGCAAAAATCGTCTGGCTCCGTGTAAAAATGCACGGTTGCATAAAAATGAGATCTTTTTGCAAAATAGTCTCCTCGGCGCTGTCTGTCCTCCAAAAGCGTCCGGTAAACAATAACCGCTCGGAGCGAAATACGGACGCAAGCGCCGCTCTGAAGGGGAAATTAGATATACGAGGGTTTTGTGGCCGACGAACGCCGATTAAATCCAGGATTTTTCGCCAAAAATTCCTTCGCGGCGATATAAAGGTGTCATTGTCCGCTGAACGGTGTCGTCAAAGCTCGATTTCGATGCTCCGTGTCCAAAAATAAAAAATAGTGCTCTATCGAAATCCTGATTCCGAGCCCATACAAGATGGCGGCTGTTGATTCCTTCGATACAAAAAGTTTTTTTTTTCTTTTTCCAGATAGACGGAGCCGAGGGGGAGGAGGAGCGCGAGCGCGAGCGCAATCACGCCCTACGTCAAACCTGCTGTCAGCGCGCGAAGCGGCCGCTGGAGGCGCTAGACGATCACAAATCTGCACTGGACCGTCATCTACGCATCGGGAATTGTTACTTACGTCGAAGACTAAATCGTATTGGGACGGAAATAGTTTAGCATTTTAGCCAATATTATAGTTTGCTTTAAAACAAGTTGTTGAGAAGCAGTGCAAATTAACTTAAAATATAAAACGTACATCTTTATATTCGGATAGTTTATGACTAGAAGGTTTTTTTTTTTTTTGTCTTAAATTATATTCTGACCCTCATAAAACACATCTCTTCTGATATTTTCCATTTAAAACATTCATAAGTAACGGTTAATCATGATTTAAATCACCATTATAAAAAAAAAAACATCAATTTCTTCCACACATAAAACAGACACATGCCGCTTCTGGTATATTTTCATTGTTTCTCTACTCTCGAAATCTGGCACATGCACATGTATTATCAACTTTGAAACATAAAAATCAAATACAACAATACATGATATGTACATACAAAGTGAGTGCACTGTGCAAATGTATACAGATTATGCTTTTTGCCTGAATATAGCGGCTAATAAATCAATACCCGCTGTGTTTCATGTGCATAAGAACAAATTATTGAAGAACATGTGCTGCTGGGAAAAAAAACAACAACAACAACAAAAATATCTTGCCCACATTCCACAGCTCTGTCTTGCAGCTTCTGCCCACACTATTAAAATTCTTTGGTATACACATTCCCATATATGGCACAAAAATAATTAATACACAGTTAATACAAGCATGTGAAGTCATATTTAAGGGCACATTTTTAACACTCTTGAGCACCAAAACAAATTTGCAGATTTGCACTCAAAATATTTCTCAACCAATTAAGATTTGTTCAAATGTATACAAAACAAAACTGTGAGGCAGTGTAATTCACGTGACAATGGCAAAAAAAATTTAAAATAAAAACAACATGATTCTCCAAACTGAAATCAATCCTTGATTTTCGAAACTAAAATGCAGAAAACCTACAAGTACGCGGGCAGTGGTGAGAAAGTGGGAACAATCACATAAAACAAGATTAAATTCACACTTTTCCATTTTAGTTCATTTAAAATATCATAGAACTTTAGTAGAATTGAATCGGAGGCACTTTTCAAGAGTTTAGGCCTTAGGTGCTTGTTACGTTAGGGGAAACTGGGCGGCCCGCATGGACGTAAAGACCCATTTCTCCTTGCTTTAAGTGGCTCCCTTTCATAAATATGCCCTTTTGATATTAGGCTCTGTGGCTGCACACAGATTCATGCACAGCCCCAATAAATACAAATGCATTTAATACAAAACCACATACATTATGCACAATTAATTATAATTCAATACTGTCAGCACTGGGCTTCTTTAGCCAATGGAGTGATACAATAACTCAAAGGTGAATGTGTTAGCTGGAAAGCAGTGCACCATAAAACAATTAACAGCAAAATCAAATCCCTTTTCCATCCCGAAAAGTTTCATTTAAAGATACACAGTGTACTTTTTTTTTTTTAAAGGCTGGAATTATAATTCACATCAAAGAGGAAATAATAATATGATACAAAAACATAAAATTGCAGGTGTTCTGAAAGCTGCGGCATCAAAAGACACACTGATAGTTTGACTCTGACACAACCTGGTATTACAATTGAGGGAAAAAAATAAAAAATAAAAAAAATGAATGAACAAAAAGGCACTGGATTTTTTTTTCCATTTTTGAGAACAAATTAGTGATCGCTCTGTAAACAGAAATAAAGAAAGAAATCTGTCCTCCTCAAACCTCAGAGCCAAGCTTATTCACTATACATGATGGCAGAGGATACAGATCCAACCGGTGTGGACTAATAAAGGACTTGCTTTGAGAGACTAAAATTGCTTTGCTTGACTGATGATTGAAATGTAAGACACATCGCGAGATATACTGCAGATTATTCTCTAGTGTTCTGAACTCATCAGCAACAAAAAAATCAGTTAAAGAAAAGCAGATCTCTGCACAAATGTCGAAAAAAAAATGTGAAGAGCTGCTGTCAAAATCTCAACAGAATTCACACTCAAAAAACTATCAGATACAAATCTTTTTTAAAAAGTAGGCAGAAATAAATGCATTATAACAAAATTGCAAGCCGCTCGCCAAATATAGCAACACAAGAACCTTCTTCCTCAAGGCCATGGAGTGAACAGGTATCTCAAGTGCAGTGTGATCAACAAAAACTAGAGCAATACCAACTCCGACTCTGCTGGCATGATCACAGTGAAAAATAACTGATTCGAATATGAAAAAGTTTGAGGCACTGAATGAAATGAATTAAAATGCACTGATAAACAATTCATACAAAATCTGTTCAACTGAACACTTCATTGAAGGCTTCGCTGGCTGAAGTTTACTGGATATATTTAGGGAAAAACACAGTGGCACTCGTTCTGTGTTAAGATCCTTAAATACGGTCAAGTGCCATGCTGAAAAAATTGATTTATTAATTTAATTTGGAATCCTGTAGGACATTCCCTCAGGCAATGAGAAACACTAAATTGTGGGGCTAAATTTTATGCAAAAAAATGCACTGAACCTCCAAACACAGCATGTTTTCAACAAACATTATACTCTGAATATCCCAATGCATTACAATCATCGGCCCTTGTGTCCTCTAATGAAGGGGAGAGAGCGCACAGCATGGTTTCTGCCATCCTTCTTGATTGCGATTCAAAAAATAAGGCTGACTGTGCTGTTTTTCCTCATTTTATGAGTTTAGGGTGCTATTGTGCGTGAGACATTTTACCTCCCATTGATAAAAGCTACATTGTTTCCTGCCATATATACTGGATATTAATATGAGCATTGTGGACAGAAGTGCTGGAAGCCCATCTTTATCCATCCGCCCTTGCCTTGGTTTTATTGTAATGTGATATAGGTGACTGCCTACATAGTAGAGCAGTGAAACTAATATACTGCATATTCATTATAATAACCTTAAAACATTATCCTGTAATCCTGTTTCTAATTAGCAACTGGCTTGTTTTTGATTATTTTGTCTCAAAGAGAAAGAAATACTGAAATAAATGAAAAAATGAATATGGCATTAGAGGTGTAATACATTACAAAAAACAGCATTTTTCACTGTCCACATCTTTTGAAAAAACCATGCTGATATATTTGTTCAAACATTTCTTTCATTTGTTAATTTGACTGATCTTACATATTGTGAAGGCACTTTATAAAAAAAAAAAAATTGGAGAACATCAGAAATATTAACTCCATCCATTTCCCCCTCTGTGCTACACTGTGATCCACAAAGCAGATGCTTAGCGCACCCATTTTTCTATTTAGGTCACGTTATCAACACATATGTCCTACATAGGCTAATGCTACTCATTGGAACTCCAACAGTTGTGGTCGGAAAAGCCCCTTGAAGGAAGTAGAGCCTGAAAATTAACTGCTGATGAAGAAGGTCAGCTGAGGTGAGGAGGAAATTTTAATCACTCCACTGCCCTGAGCTTTGTATGCTCATCTGCCTCGTCTTCTTCCTCTCCTTGTAAAGGTGTCTCTGGTCTGGCTAATGGTGCGTATAGTTGTGCTATTGATGGAGGTTGTGTACCACTTAGCGATGGTGCTTGATAAGGACTCTCGTAATCCTTTTCTTTGAGCTCTGGGACAGGAGAATTGTCTTTAGAGTCTTGGTGCAACTCCTCTGTAATCTGAGACGGGCCTAATCCACGGCCCTGAGGCACACCGTGGCCACTGATAGAGGCAACATTGGGAGAGGTGGATGGGGGGTTTAGTGGTGCAGCGGATGTTGTTGTTGTTGCATTGGCAAGTGTTGTGGGCTCTAAATGCCCAACGGCACCATCCACCTGGCCTTGTTCCAGGCTTTGTGTGGACCCCGATCTGCCTTCGTTCATTTGGGGATACAGGTAAGTCCTCATCTGCCCTTTCCCTTTCACGTTTACAGTGCCACGATAATCAAAGGCGTAGTTCATTCTATTAAGCACACAGTGGCTCTCTTCGCTAACCTGTATGCGGCACTCCACTCCCGTGCTGTCCATGCGGCTAGCGATGTTGACCGTGTCGCCCCATATGTCGTAAAGCAGCTTGGTAGTGCCGATGACGCCGGCAGTCAGGGGCCCGTGGTTGAAGCCAATTCGCAGCTTGAACTTGAAACCCAACATGTTCTTGTTAAAATCGTCCACCACGCGCATCATTTCAAGGGCGAAGTCAAAGAGGGCACGTAGGTGGGTGTGCGGGTGGGGCTGCTCTTGGCACTGCTGCCCATTTAATCCAGACGCTGCCATGTAGGTGGCACCAATGGTTTTAATCTTCTCTACATTTGAGAATGCAGGCTTGCGCAACAGTTCGTCAAAGTCTCCGATGAGTTCATTAAGTACTCGGTAGCACTCTTTCCCACCCTCGTAGCTCTCTTCGTAGAACTCGCTGAAGTTGACAATACTTGCGAAGATGACTCCAACATTCTCGTGATTTTTAGAGTAACTCTGGTTCACCTCCAGCTGCTCGGCAACATGGATGGGGATGATGTTACGCAGCAGCCAGTCCGCTTGATCTCGCATGGTCTGGATCTTGATGCGATGCTTGTCAGCTTCCACATTCCCGTGGTAATGAAGGCGGTAGCTGACCTCGAATTCCCGGTTGAGAAACCAAACCAGCATCAGCAGGAGGAAGAAGGAGAGTACGGTCTCTAGGACGAGCAGGTCGAGCGCTGTGGGCCCAGAGTCCAACTCACCTGTCTGATCTACTTCGGCACTCTGGTTACTCATGTTCCTGAAGGCAAGAGAAAGAGATTTCAGATTTGAGTGGTGTGTTCTACAGAATAATAACACCAACAATAGAAGGTGCTCAAAAACACCCTTTCAATTTTAAGATGTTTTAAGTCTTCAACCATGGCTGGAGCTAGGGGTGGGTGGACTTGTCACCTTTTCTTTATCATATGGCATTTTGACATTTAAGCATGCATTAACCTGAGATTAAAGCCTGGAATATGCTACCTAACCTTTGCACAGATTTTTGCCTCAATTTGCAGTTTGAATGAGACTGCACTAGTTACGGAAATTCAGAGCCAGTCTGCAGATTTTCAGGAATCGGACTTGATGGATTTCACACACACACACACAAAATTGCATGGTGATGATGGGCACAGACTATAATTTTTTAGCTTCAGACTATGAGTCCATTCAGTCGGAGGATTTCAATCATGTCTGATATTTTGAGCCGATTTTCGAACACATATTGTTGTAATTTATCATGTCTCCTAGCAACGAGACATGTTTCTACGTGAGTTTGTTGCGTTTGGGACGACTTGAAAGTCTGGTAGTGTATAATTAGAAAATAGTTTATAATAGAAAATAGATATGGTGAATTTTGATTTAATGTCGACTAAGATTAATTGACATAATATTGAGTAATATTAATTATGTACATAAAATGACTTCCTGCTTATTTCATGATTTATTAAGTGCATCATATTTTAATATTTTATCAACACACATTAATATACAAAAAGTAAAATCTCAACCATCTTACAAATGTCAGCTCAAATCAGAGTTGGCATTAGTAATAGTTTTCTTGACATAAGTTAATAAAACACTCACCTAGAAGCTGGAAAACTGTCAGTGGCGCTGCAAAAAGAAAATGGTTTTCATCATAAATCAGAGTTCTCTACAGCAACCATACGTGTCCACCGGAGGTGAGCAGGCATTTTCAATTCACTCTATGGTAGAGGTCTGCTACCCGACCCGAGCCCGACGGCTTTCGGGTTTCGGGTCGGGTTCGGGTTAATGTTTAATGAATAGCTTCGGGTTCGGGTCGGGCTCGGGTTTATAGCTAAACTAAAACTATATGCAGGCTACGCTGCTTTCATAGACGCACGCACACACGATTGCACACGACAACACACCACGGAAACTTTTATTAGTAAAATAGCTTTGACAGGCTACTGACGAAAATGACCATAATTTGCATGATGGAAGAATTATCGTCTTGTCGTATGCAACCATTCAAAAACTCGGCAGAATTTATGTGACCGAAGCACCTAATGTTCATAAACTTTCATAACTGGTAAGTGTTTTTTCTTTTGCCTTGTGAACTGGCCGAGCCTTAATGATTCTTTTTCTTTACATGTATTTGCTTACTGACTGTTGCATGCAATCGTGAAATACAGCATTTTTTTTAAATTGGCTATTCGTTGTGTGGAAAAAATTTTTTTTTTTTCGGGCTCTAAATTTAACTGTGCCGCTTGGGTCGGGTCAGACGATCTCGGGTACGGGCCGGGTTCGGGCTTCACTTTAAAGCCCGCGCAGACCTCTACTCTATGGAAGCTGAGTGGCAGGTTTGCGTGGGGGATTGTGGAATTGATTGCTTTCAATATTAAGTTATTTATTAAATGATTTTTACAGACATACTTCTGTTGTTTTGGGTGGTATTGGGTGGATTTCTTCAGCACTGGTGGACATGTACCATCATGAACAGTCATGAGAGTAAAAAAAAAAAAAATCACAAAACCACACAATGTTCTAAAACTATAATGTTTTCAGTTTTCATTTTAAGCAATAGTTCACCCAAAAATTTGCTGAAAACTGACTCACTCTCAGGACATCCAAGATGTAGATATGTTTGTTTCTTCATCAGAAGAAATTTGGAGACATTTACTCCATTTACAATCACTTGCTTACCTCTGCAGTGAATGGGTGCCGTCAGAATGAGTTCAAATGGCTGACAAAAACATAATTTTGGACAATTTTCACTTGTAAACGGTGCTTGATCTCTGCATATTTCTCTCCTGATTCAGATGAGAACTTTTTCACTGGAGAAAGCAATATTATGGATAGAAGACTATTTTAGCTAGAAGCAATGGTTTGAATTTAAAACGATGGATTTGTTTCTTACAAACATGCAGCTTTTCTCGCCACAAGATGTTAACTGATGGACTGGAGTGGTGTGAATTACTGTGATGTTTTTATCAACTGTTTGGACTCTCATTCTGATGGCACCCATTCAACTGCAGAGGATCCATTGGTGAGCAAGTGATGTAATGCTAAATTTCTACAAATCTGTTCCCATGAAGAAACAAGCTCATCTACAAATTGGATGGCCTGAGAGCGAGTAAATCTTCAGTGAATTTTCATTTCCTTTAATTAATACACTAAGTTTATAATGGTAAAGTTTGTTGATACTTTGCTGGCTGAACAGGTAACAAAAGTTGAGGATGTCTGACCTGGGCCTGGTGGTGGCACTGTAGAGCAGGATGAGTAAAGACAAACCAGCTACAGTGGCCAGAGTTGAGCGCATCCAGAAACTCAGCTGGCAGAAGTTACAGTACTGGATAATAGCAATAATGAGAGCACAGCACAGGAACATGGTCACCTACACATCCAGAAGAGAAAAAAGCACACATTTAAACAGTCAACCAATCACAGATACGCATATATACAAACTGAGGCTGCGGGATTGTCTGTGTACTTAGATTTGTAATGAGCTTGTCAGCATAAAGTACATACAAATATAAAAGCCTCAAAGCATACTGAACACTGGCTGCTGAGATGTTCGGAACAGTTTTGCATGTCATATTATGGCTTGATCCTGAAGAGTAACATCTCTGAAGCTTTAAACTCTTCCTCCAATTACCAGGCTTTCAAAGACACACTTTGATCTAACAGGCTTCAAGAAACTGTGCAAAAATTTACTTGAAGATGAAGATATCTTGTAGAGATAATACCAACTCGATACTAAAATAATAAAAACAAAACCAAACAACTGATGCAAAGCTGAATTTTCAGCATCATTACTCCAGTCTTCAGTGTCACATGATCTTTTAGAAAACATTATCACTTAGTATTATAACTTTTGAGTAGTGGTCGACCGATATGGGTTTTTTGACAGCCAATGCCGATATCTTGGAAAGCAGGGTGGCCGATATAAAGCCGATATAATTGTATTTATTTTAATTAATATTTAAGAAATTTGAAATCATTTGAAAATGGATTAAAAATAATTGTGCAAAATAAACATACTTATACTTTAGAAGACAAAGCATTTTTCACAAATAAATATTTAATAAAAATCTAATTGAAA